GCTGAATGGACTGTTTCTAGGGAGGACAGGGGAGTCCCTGGGGTCTGTAGATCATCACCTTGGCCAAGTCATTATGGTCTCACTCGGTGACTGAGGCCACACTCTCTTTGCCGAAGCGCTGGGGGTGTGGGCGCAGGCCCGGTCTCCCTTGGGGCGGGGGTCTCACCTGGCTTGTCTTGGCCTGCCTTCCCGTCCCGCAGCAGCAGCATGAGGATCCCGGCCAGCTCCTTCACTCTGGGCCAGAAGCTGGAGAGATACCACACAGCTGTACAGGTGGGCGGGGCCGGGCACCTGCCCTGTGTGGTGGGCGTGGTTGGCACCCACCCTCAAGGGTCAACGGCTTGTGTTCTCTGCTCTCAGAGATCAGAGTCAGTCAGGTCTCCGGGCCCCTCCCGCGCTGAGTTCTTGGTGGCTCCCGTGGACGTCGCCAGCAAGCGCCACCTCTTTGAGAAGGAGCTGGTGGGTCAGGGCCGGGAAGGACCAGCCTCCAGCCGGAAGGTGAGTGGCTCAGGCCGATGAGGCTGGGTGTCTGCAAAACCCGGCCCCTGGCCTGGGCAGTGCCAGACAGCTCTGCGTCTTCGTGCGTCAGTTTGGGAGAACCTGCCGCTGACTTGAGTTCCCTGCCACTCCTGCTTGTGAGCCCCCGTCCCCCAGGCTGTGCGCACAGCCCCAGTGAGGGGGGCGGGCCCGGCGCCCTGGGCTGGATGGGTGTGGGCAAGGTACAGGCCTCTGGAGATGCCCACCCGACCCCGAGACGGAAGCTCTCTTTTCAGGAGAACTTGCGGCTCTCGGGGGTTGTGACATCAAGGCTCAACCTGTGGATCAGCAAGACGCAGGAGTCAGGAGATGGGGACCCGCAGGTACCCCGGCCCTCCCGAGGCCTCACCACGGGCCCTTTCGTGGCACAATGACCTGTCAGAGGAGGGGCAGCCCCAAAAGTAGTGGACGTATTCTGGGCGTGGGAACGGCGTTGGATAAGCCTGCGGGCTAGAAGGCAGAGAGGAGGAGGGTCTGGGGTCCTCCCTCTGGAGGGGGAGGGGTCTGGGGTCCTCCCTCGGGGCGGGGAGGGGTCTGGGGACCCCTGTGCCATAAGCCTGAGCCTCTGGTCTCCGCCCTGATGCCTGCAACCAGGAGGTGCAGAAAGAGTCGGCAGCCGCCAGGAGGATCCAGTGGAGGAAGAAAGCAGACTCCACCCTGGATGCCGAGGTGAGAGCTGCGGGGGTGGCCGCCCTGCGGAGACGCCACACGCCCAGCGCCACGCGCACACCGACTGGCCTGTGTTTGCACAGCCCCCTTCTCAGGCTGGGTTGTCCCAACCTGGGGAACGCTGGCTGCACCCTCCGCTGGCTTCGCTTCCCCACAGCTGTGCAAGCCCCTACCCCCCTCAACCAGCAGATCTGGGGCCTCTGGCCCAGTGTGGGTGCAGGGCTTGGGGAAAGGGGTGCCTTCCTGTCCAGCCCTAGGAACCCGTCTTGTGCTAATAGCCCTTTGCCCCGTAGGTGTGAGAAGCCTTATCTCATCACCCCCGCTCCCTTTCTGCCTCGGACCTGGGACCAGGAACGTCGGGGGCACTCAGCCAGCTCCTTCCCTGCCCAGCCTCTGGGGCAGGTGTGCCTGGCCCCTTGTCCTGCTGTGGGCACAGCGGATCCTGGGCCCCAGCGCCGGGCTGGGCACAGCACGACTCTCGTCCACACCTCAGGCCTCGGCGTCCTGTCCAGAGACGGCTCTTCCTGCTGGTCCCTTCCAGGGTCAGGGGCGCCGTCCTGCAAGAGGCCCCGGGTCCCTGCCTGGTCTGAGCCCAGCAGGTGTCTCCGTGTACCTCTCAGAGGCCGGTCCACCCACTTCGGCCAGGCTGGAAGCGTCGCACTGTCTTCCTGGGCCCCGTCCCCTGCTTTGTTCTCCCTCACATCCCCACCCGCTGCTCTGGCCAAGCCATCGTGTGCTCCCCTCCCCCTGTTCTCAGGAAAGAGGTGATAAACTCATTCAGTCTCAGGTGTAAGTGACTGATAATACTTTAAAAACGCTTCCTTCCTGGAGGCTTTGCTGTTAATGGGGACCGTCCGCAGTGTGCGGGGAGGGCTGTTTTGGCTGCGGGTGTGCAGGGGGGAGGCGTTGCCCTCATCACTTGTCCTCACGTTTAAGGGGGTTGCTACCCAGTTGTCTAGCATGGTGACTTGAGGGGGGGCAGAACTGCCACAAACAGTGCCAGACCTGCCGTCACACCCCAACACACACGATCCCCAAATCCGGTCCTCTGTTCCCCTAACCTCATGGCTCCCGTGGGCTTGGCGGACACTGGGCCGGCTGAGAATCTAGGACAAAGCAAACTCGGAAAGTCTGGTGCCTGTCAAAACCCTTTGTGCTGTAGTGATAAAGGTAGACGTGTGCGGGTATGTGTGTGCACGAGCGTACGTGCGTGTGCATGTGTGTACGTACACACACACGTGTATGTATTTTCTTTTAATCGTTAGAACTAAATGAACACTCTGTTCCCAAGTGCCCCGGAGCCAGCTGCAGGAAAACGGGTGCAGAGCCCACGCCCTTCTACCCCCGGCCCAGGCCCACCTGGGAAACCCCAGGGCTCCTCAGAGCACAGCTGGAAGGGTCACCAGGCCCCCCCAGCCTGTGGGGCAGACACGGCCAGCCTTGTCCAGCCTCTGTGATTCTGAGTGAGGCTCCTGTCTTGCATCCTGGGCTCCAGGGCACAGGATGCCCTCGGGGCCCTGTCCATGACCCCGGGCTGGCCCGCCTCCCGCTGGTGGGCTTCCTGTGGCCGGCCCTGTGCCTGCCCGGAGCCGGGGGGGCAGCAAGACCTGGAGGGCCTGCCTGGGACGCCTGCACCCGCTACCGACTGGAGTTCCAGGACGAAGCCGGGGGCGGGGCAAACACTGCCCGGAGACGTGGGCCGTGCCAGGTGGGCCTGCCAGGAACTCAGGGTTCAGGCAGGTTTTTGAATGCTCCCGTTCTAAACTTGGGAAAGTCCCAGCAGATGAATTTGTCCAGCACAACTGTCCTCTAACCCTCCCTCCAGCGTGGAGACCCGAGAGCGGGCCGAGGGGCTCCTCCTGGTCCTGGGGATCTGGGTGTCCGGTAGCTGTTGCCCTCGGGGGTGGAGTCCTTGGTGCCCGCACCCGCGCACTGGGGTGCCCATCAAGGGCTGGCTGCCGGGCAGGGTGTGGGGGACAGCACCCCACGACTCCTGCCCCCTTGCACTCGTGCATCCCACACACGAGGGCCCTGCACGCACCCTTATCGGGGGATGGATGCACGCCCAGGACGACTTCAGCTGGTGACATTGTGAGGACAGAGCGTGCAGCCTGGGGGTGACTGGGTGACAAGGTGGGGGGAGGCCCCTGGAGGAGGTGACAGCCCACTCCCTCCAGGGACAGAATAGGCCCCCACCCTCCCACCCACACTCCGGGCCCTGCCTGCTGCCTTCCTGCCCGGAGACCCGGGACCTCACAAACAGCCTCTCTTCCTGAGGGTCCTCAAATGTGCAAAGCACCACACCAGCATCTGCTTCTTCCAGTAAAATTCTGGCCAAGCACCATCTGTTCTCTCTTCGTTCCCCTCTGCCATTAGCACGAGGAGGTGACGTTACATCTGTCTGCAGGGACGGGGCGTCCACGGCAGGTCGGATGGGTGGCTGGAGGGTGGCTAGACTCACCGGCTGAGTGACTGCTGCCCACGGTCCGAGTCAAATTCCCACCTTAGGACACTTACTGAGAGCCTCACACAGTTAGTCCACGGATGCCAAGAACCTACCGGGTTTTCCCCGTGGGGATTCAGGTGGCCAGATCTCTGTCCCAGGCCTCCGTGCGAGCAAATTACGTCCCCCGTGAAGGATTGTTGAGCTCACAAGGAGCCCGCCAGAGTAGCTCAAGTTAAGGGAGGACTTAGGAAAAGCGATTCCTAAATTCCAGGGCATTCCAGGCCAGGACACAAGGCGAGGCTAGGTCCTGGTGGGCTGCACCAGGACAGCGGGGGATGGGGCACCCCCCTCTTTCCCGACTGCTTGGCTGCACTCACTGTTCCTCCCTGATCCCCGGGAAGCCGGCAGCAGGCCTGTGGCTTCAGCCTGCCCCGCCCCGGATCTGCTGGCAGCCCAAAGGGCCACGTGGCAGGGATTGAGCCTGGAGGTGGGGAATCAGACCACTGGGCTCAGAGGCCACCGGGGACCATGGAAGGACAGTTTCAGCTGAGTGACGGGGCAAGTCTGATGGCAGAGTGGGGGCGGGGCATGTGGAGGACCCTTTCAAGGGCATCGGTGGTGGACGCGGCATGTGGCTCCCAAGGCAGCCACGTGTGTACAGGCAAACTCCAAAGCCCTGGGCGCTGGCCTCACGGACCTTGTGATCTAGTGGGTTTAGTGGATGACAGTCCCGAGTGGCCTGACTTTAAAGCCGTAGTGGCGTGAAATTCAACCGTGTTCCTGCCCCTCCACTCAACCAGCTGCCTCTTTGAGGAGAACCCTCATTCTTGGCTGGACGTCCGACCTTGAACCTGACCTCCTGTATTGGGTTTAACCCCTGCTCAGTAAGGAGGGCTTGCCACGTGGCTTGGGGGGGTCAAGGAGAAGACCCACTCTGCAGATGTGCTCACTGAGGCCAGCAGAGCCTGCCTCCCCCACAAGGCTGCTCGTCCTGCTAGAAGCAGCCAGTAGCCTGGAAGGCGCCTTCATCCTCAGCATCACTTCAGTCGAGCTGCAGACAAGCCCTGCCTCTGCTCCCGAGACCCCCGCCCAGAGACTGACAAAGCGCCTTGTGCCCCCGGCCCCGCCCCTGCCCCCAGCCTGCCACCCCAACGCTGGCATCCACTTTATTGGGATTATCAGGACGGACAGCTGCTTTGTGTTACATGCCTGCTGCCTCCTGTCCCCTGCCTATCTGTCCTGGTTTTAAATAGCTTATCTGAGCAGCTGGACGACCACATGGGCTTATATGGCCTGGGGTGCATGTTCCCTCAGCCCTGTCCCCCGGCACCTGCCAAAATAGCAGCCAGCAGACCCGCTCCCCCTGCCCCCGCCGCCCCCCCAGGGTGTCTCCTGCCGCACATTCCTCCACTGGGGGACTTGGCTCCGGGCCGACCGAGTGTCTGCTTAAAGCCCTCTCCATCCCCTGCCCTCGTCCAGACCCTGTGAGGCCGCGGACACCGCAGGACCGGTCTTCGGCAGCTCCTGCTCTGGGTAAGGCTCGGGCAGGCTCTGGAGAGCGGACGGGTGTCCTGTGGCCTGGCCCTTCTGTCCTGAGTCCCCGAGTCCTCTCTGAGAGGGTGTCAGAGCTGGGGGAGGCCCCGTTCCCTTGGGTGCTTCCGAGGAGGTGTTGCAGGGACAGGACTCAGACTAGTTTAACTGGCCCTCAGTGAGAGGTTGGAGGGTTGGGTTTGAGTCTGGGATCTGTCACTGAAGGGTGGTTTTGCTGGAAAGTCTTGGGTGAGCGGCTTTCCTTCCCCGGGCCCCAGCTTGCTCATTGGTAGGAGGGATAGATAATTGCCAGGCCTCTGAATACATGATGCTCCAGCCCATGGGGACTCCCCCTCCAGGCAGAGGGCCCCTGAGCCTTCCCAGGGAAGGGGTCCCTCTCCATCCCCAGAGAGCAGAGTGAGGCTTTGTTTGCATCAGTCAGAACAGTCCTTGTGGCTGAATTCTCTTTTCCCGGAATTCAGACACTGTCCTGAGGCAGCAGGGGCCCCTGAAGGCCCCTCCAGGCAGACACGGGGTTCATCCGCCCTCCCAGACCCAGGACTGCACCCCTCCCCAGGCAGGGCACGGGCTGAGCAATGGGGAGAGACCCCTTTGGGAGACCCCTTCATGGGGGTGGTGAACCCAGCTCACTGGGTTAGAGGGTTAACCCTGAGTCCAGCTGCCCCCCACCCCAGGGTCCCTGCGAGTGTGACCGTTGCCCCATCCACCTCCATGCACCCCGGGGGGGGCGCTTGCTCTAAGCTCCTCCGGAGGGAGAGCCATCCCCCCTTCTCCTGGGCAGGCTGAAGACAGACCGGGAAAGGGGCTGCCTGGAGCGTGGGGAATTTCAAAGCACATTCCTGTCCTAGCGCAGCTGGGAAGCACCTGACCTCCTGAATTCCTCCTCTGACCCGGGTATTGGGTCTTATAGGGCAAGGCCTCGTTCTCTCCTGGCAGAAGGGGAATCTGAGAGGATCAAGTTGCCCACTGCCCCTGGCCTAGCTCTGCCGGTGGGCTAACAGCTACAGGCTTAGGAAGATTCCAGTTGAATGCTGGGGACAAGGGCTGAGGGATGGGACCCCCATTCCTCTGTTTTATAGACAGGTTAACTGAGGTCCAGAGAGGTTAAGTGACTTAACTAAGGTCACACAGCAAAAACTGGGTTTTAAACCCAGCTCTTCTGACCGCATGGCCAGCATTCTCTCTGCCTTCTATCATTTTTGCTTTACTCCCCTAGAAATGTGCCCCCACTCTCTTGGCTGTGAGGGAGACCGGCTAGAAATCAGTCTGTGGTGGCAGGTGGGGGCCCGGGCGTGGGCATTCTGGTACCTCGCCTGCCGGGTTCTCGACTGCCTCCAAGCTGGAGCCCCGCCCGGGCCCATCGACTTCCTGTCACCAGTCCCCTGAACAATTGTCTTGGCAGCATCCTCCGGTGGAAGCCCCCCCCACCCCTTCTGGCCTCCCCCCCTCCCGAAAGCCCCCCCCCCCCCCGCACACCCCATGGCCGGCAGGCTATTTTTAGGAGCTGGACAGCGCTCAGAGGAGCAGGGGGCGGTCTCCGGGGCTGTGCCCGATGGCTTTGAGCCGGTGGGCGGGCGGGCAGGAGAGGAGAGAGAGACCCCAAGCCCCAGTCTGGCCACGCGCCTTCCCTGGGAAACCTCCCTGCGCCGAGGTGACAGACTCCACCCGGGGTTCAGGCAGGGGCTCCCCAGTTCTCGGGCCACTGGTTCCGGCTACTTCCCTGGGGCTCCAGGCAGTGTTTCATCTGCCAGACCCCCACCCCCTCTGGGCTTGGGGCTCTCCCCCTGCCACTCTCCCCACAAGGCCCCATTTGAAGACCCTCTGGGGTGCGTCTTCTCAGGACACCCTACACGTCTGACATCTCTTCTTCTCACCCACTGCCACCCTCACCCGGGGGAGCCAGCTTCTGTGCAAAGCTCCCTGTGCCTGGCCCCGCCCTCACTGCCCCACCGACTCCAGTGAGGGGGGCTGGCGAGGGGGGCTGGCTCGCTGCAGCGCTCGCCCTGACCCAGGAGGACTGGATGAACTGAGCCAGGTTCAAAAGAGCAGCCAGTCCAGGCTGGCCCCCCCCCCCCTGCCACTCTCCCCACAAGGCCCCATTTGAAGACCCTCTGGGGTGCGTCTTCTCAGGACACCCTACACGTCTGACATCTCTTCTTCTCACCCACTGCCACCCTCACCCGGGGGAGCCAGCTTCTGTGCAAAGCTCCCTGTGCCTGGCCCCGCCCTCACTGCCCCACCGACTCCAGTGAGGGGGGCTGGCGAGGGGGGCTGGCTCGCTGCAGCGCTCGCCCTGACCCAGGAGGACTGGATGAACTGAGCCAGGTTCAAAAGAGCAGCCAGTCCAGGCTGCGGCGGTCTTCCGCCAGAGGGGCCACGGGGCAGAGGCTCCTTCAGAACTTCTTGGCCTCAGAGGGGCTGCCTTGCGGTGGACATCACGCCACCCGCCAGAGTCGTGGCTCACTGCGTGTCCGCAGATGGGTGCCTGGGGCGGGTCTCGGCCGGGACAGTGGGGTGTGCGGTGACAGGTGGTGTGGGCCTGAGCACCGCTCTCCGTGCCACTGTCACCGCGGGCTGAGCCGGAAGTTGGTGGCTGCAGCACCGGGTGCCAGTGGGGCAGAGTCAGGAGCAGCCTGGCATCACCCCTTCGGGGAAGAGGGGAATGAGGTGTAGGGAGGTCAACGACCTTTCCAGGGTCACAGGCAAATGTGAGATGGAGCCAGCGTTCGAAGCCAGGTCAGCCTCCCAGTCCCGTGCGGGCAGTCTCCACCGCTCCCTTGGCTTCTCCCCGTCATTGCGGGGGAAGTGACGGTAAAACGCTTTCCTCGGTGTCAGCGTGGTCCTCACAGACCTCTGGGCCGGGCAGCCAGGATGCAGCCACTCTGTCTGAGCTTTGGGAAGTCTTTTGCCCCAGTGCTCAGCTGATAGGAGAGTCTTGATTTTCTGTTCCTAGCGCAGTGCGGGGGAGAATTTCAAAACGAGAGCTTCCCCAGAGAAACTCAGCACTGAGTTGGACTTTTTATGAGCCGGTGTAGATAAACACGCTGCTGTGAGAAATGATATGAGAAATGTAGACCCACACACACTTCCCAGTGTCCCCCGTGGTAACACTTGCACAGCCAGGTCCAAATCACAGCCGGGACACGGAAGCATCATCCGTGATCTTACTTGGATTCCCCGCTCTGCTCTGACTTTGTGTGAGTGTGAGTGTGAAATTCTCTTCCGTTTTGGCCTGTGCAGGCCCGATGATCCACCACCAGAGATACCAAGCAGTTCTAGAACCGCAGACGTCCCTCGTGTGCCTTTTCCTACCACGCCCACCTCCCTCCCAGCCTCCCCACGACCACCAATCTGTTCTCCATTTCTACAACTTTGCCGTTTCGATAATGTTCCATCTCTAGATGGAACCACATGCCTCGGCTTTTCCAACCCCCAGGGAGACTAATTCCCTGGAGGTTCGTCCGGGGGTGTCGGCTGCACCCCCGGTTTGCTCCTTTCTGTTGCCTAGTCACCGTCCATGCCACGCTGGGCCACTCCCAGGGGAGACTGCGTGAATGGGGCAGTGCCCGTCTCCCCTGGTCGCTGGGCAAGGCTGGCAAGGCTGGGGAAGCTTAGAGCTGGGGTTCAGAGAGTCACCACGTGGTGCAGGGGTTGCTGTGCCCCCGACAGAGGAGGCAGCGGGCTCTGCTGCCGTCACAGGCGGATAAGGGGCGGGTGGTCAGCGTCTCGGGTGGACTGCGGGCCCAGCGTTCCTCGCAGAGCCGGGAGGCCGGCCCTCCGCCCGTGCTGACTGTTCCTCTCTCCGGAGGGAAGCGGAGACCATGTCGGACGCGGAGGAGGCGGTGGACAAGTCCGAGGGGTGAGTACCGGGGTGCTCCTGGGGGGCCGTCCCCTCCGTGCACCTGGCCTGGGAGATACCCTGGTGTGGGCCGGGGCTGCGCCCCTCTGGGGGCCCGGGGAGACCTGCACCCCTTCGTTTCCAGCCCTGTGCCTCTGGGCTGCCCCACGGGGTTGGCAGTAAAGAGCCCATTCCCGGGGCAGTGGGCTCCTGCCGGGAGCTGGGCCTCCCGAGAACGGACCAGAGAGGTTCCGTGAGGACCCCGAGGCCACAGAGCAACCGTGCCCCAGGAATCCACCTCAGAGCCCTTGTAATCACTGCCCCGGGCAGCCGCTGTTCCTGCGCTGCACTGTCCCCTGCACTGTCCCGAGCGCCGGGTAGGGGGCACACGCTGGCGGCCAATCAAACAGTCACCTCCTGCGGGGAGTGGGTGCACAGGAAGGACACGAATGGCGGCATGGCTTGGACCCCGCGGACCTCCCTCCTGGGCGCGGAGCATGGAGGGCCTGGGGGTGCTGCGTGGAGGGGCCCCGCACGCCTGCGTGGGCTTGGACCCCGGGTGGAGGGGGTGGACAGAGCGCAGGGGACCAGCAGCTGAGCCAGGTTTCCTGGGGGTGGTCAGAGGCGGCGGGACCGGAGGCTGGGCCAGACCAGGCTGTGCGGGTGGGCAGAGGAGACGGACGCCAGCACCCAGTGCAGAGGGCAAAAACTGGGGTCATCTTTAGGAAAAGGCCAGGGTGTGGTGTGGGGGTGTGGGGGTGTGTACACGTGTGTGCAGTGTGTCCTGTGCTCCTGACGGCATCTCCCCTCGCACCGCAGGGAGCAGGAAGGTAAGCGCATGCCCCACGCTCACTGGGCAGGACAGTCTGCTTTGAAACTGATGGTCTCTTCTCTCCTCTCTTGTGGCCGCGTCTCATCCCTGGAGCAGAAGGAACCATGGAAGGTATGGGGGACGGATGGCGGGGGAGGAGGGGTGGCGTGGAGGGAGCGCATGGTCCCCGCCTCTCACTCTCAGCTGAGCAAAGACCCTCCACCAATCCCAGCACCTAGCTGGGATCAGCCCGAACCCTGGTGCTCAGGTCTTGGGGCAAAAGTTTTAAACCTGTCTCTGTCGCCCACCAGGTGGTTCACACGGAATCACTGCTTTTTTTCCAATTAATTATTTTTGCTGTTTTCTCTAATTTTTTTTTTACCATGTAAAGTTTTAAATGCACATAAAAGTGGCAAAAATAGAATAATGCACCCCCCCTGCACCCATCACTCAGCTCAACAGCCATCAACTTACAGCCCATCTTCTCTCACTTACTCTGTCTCTGCCCAGTATTTTAGAGCAGACGAATCATGCCCAGACATCATAACATCATCCCACGCTTACGTAGCTCAGTATGAATCTCTAAAACATAAGCACTATTTAAAAAACATAGCCATAATACCATGACCACACCTAAAAACGTTCAGTTTAATGCTTTTCCAAATGAGATTATGAAGGTGGTCAGGTATCTGAGACACGTCGCGTAGACATGAAGACATTGTCGCCCGGCGAGGGTCCACTCTGACCCTCGGATCTTTGCCCTTCCTACTTGTTGATCATTTTCATTATCATGGTCTCCTCAGCGTGGTGCCCCTTCTCCCTGCAAGCACCTAACCTCCCCTTCCTCCCGAGCACTTGACACATGCCAGTGGTCACGAGGCCTCTCTCTGTCCCCACAGTGCCCCCAATTGGCCCAGCATGGCCCTGGGGCCCCTCAGTCTTCTGCCCCCGGGAAAGGGTGGATCCTGCCCCTTAGAGGCTCAGCAGATCCTCAAAAGCATCATGTCAGCACATCGTGCATGGACATTAGGAGGAGGGTCTCTGGGAGAGAACCAGGGGGCTTGGGAGCTGACCCTTGTTCCCGAGTCTTCTGGGGAAAGTGGGGGCCTCTTGCATTTGAGGCTGTTCCAGGGGTACCTGACCAAGAGGAGGCACAGAGACACTCACAGGAGAACCCAGCGGGGAGGGCCTTGGGAGTCAGTTCTCAAGGAACACCACTCACATCACAGGCTATTTGAATATTTTTTGAGTCAAAAATCTAGCTCCACCTTCAGTTGTGTTTCCTGCAGAGACTCTCCTTTGCTTTGGGGGATTTGCCAGTTCCTGGCAACAGGTTTCGGGGGCTGAGATTTGAGCCACAGACTCTGGATTTGGTACCAATCTGCCTGCTACCCACAGCAGGATTTGGCTGTGAATTAACAAAATAATTCTCCACTGCGATGGGGGTCTGAGTCCCTGGAGCGTCCGCCTTGCTTGCAGTGAATGGACCACGCCTGGCTCCCTGGTAGCTAAGTCCCCGGCTGCCAGCGACCAAGAGAGCGAGGTCTGGAAGGGTGTCACTAAGCCTACAGGATGGATAATCCCAGGACCTCTGCTTCCTTCAGGAGATAATAGGTCTACAGGCAGTCGGCCTTCCTAGAGTGGGAGTGCTGGGCCGTGCTTCCTTGCATGGGGCAGCTTCCTTCCAAGTCCGCCCTGTGCCCGCCTCTCCTGGAAACTGGAGACGTCTCGCGGGTCCCTGAGAGGCTCCTTCGGGGTCGGGGTGTGTAGGGGTCTGACAAGGGTGCGTTGTTCCCACTCTGGGGCCTCTGTCCCCGCAGGAGGGAGACGGGGGCCCTGGGGTCTGGAAGCAGGAAGTGGCCAGATACCCTGAGTGCCCCCCCACGGCCCGGGCACAGTCGAGCATCACGGAGAAGGGAGTGCACTTATTTCCCCTGTGCCGACCCCTGAGGCTCAGGGAAGCCACCGGAGCGGGTCTAGGAGTTGGTGGGTCAGGGCCTGGGCTCAACGGCCCACAACCGCGCCACCATGTGCCGTCCACTGCTGCCCCGTCCTGCTCCCAGGCTAACTGTCTCACCTCTCCCCTCGTGGCTGCTGCTCCCCGACCTCAGAAGAGGAAGCCTGGAGAGAGGACGGGACAGCGGTGCAGCTTTGCCTGTCCCTGTGCTCCCAGCCTGTCGTCCCAAGTTGCCCCCATGAGGAGGGGTCTGCACCGGGGTGGGGACCTTTGTGGAGTGGCCGGGACCACGCCCCTTTCCGTGCTTCCCGAGAGGGACCCAGGCTGGCCAGTCCCCCACCCGCTCCAAGTCCAGGATCCAGAGGGGACCAATGTCCGCCCCGCTGCACACACACTGTTCTGTGCTGGCTCCTCCCTCTTAGGGGACAGCCCCCCCCACCCCCCACCGGGCAGGGAGGCCGGGGTGGGAGGGGCCTGGGGACAGAATCATGGGGAGAGCAGCTGGGGGACTGGAAATAGCCCGAGCAGAAAGGACGGGATGTCAGCCTGCAAGTGTGCACGGCTGCAGGTGGACGGGGTGGGGTTGGGGGGCACAGACTCGGACTGAATTTTAGCGGGAACTTTCTGGTAGTGACATCTGAGGATGTGGGGGCAGCTGGGGCGTTCCCCCCGGGGGTATTGGGCGCCCACTGGGCGAGGTGGGAACTGAAACCTCAGACAGGGTGGGAGAGGTGTTAACAAGATGGCCTGAAGGTGGATCCTACACCTGGCCCATGTCCTTGCTAGCCAGCCCTCCCCTCTCACCCCTTCTGGAAGGATCTTCTTTGAGGTAAGGGTCCTGCAGGGATCAAAGAAGAGGACTCTCCAGGCCTCAGAGAGGACTCAGACCTAGAACAAGAGTGGAAGCAGGGGGTGTGGAGGCAGGGGGTGGAGGCTGGGGGTGGAGGCAGGGGGTGGAGGCTGGGGGTGGAGGGGAGTGTGGAGGCTGGGGATGGAGGCAGGGAGTGGAGGCAGGGGGTGTGGACATTTCCGTGCTGGCCTCACCTCCCCCGCACCTCCAGGCTTTCCAGCCCCCCTGCCAGGAGTCCACCACATGCAGAGCCTCAGTCAAGGTCTTCATCAGCACCCGCGGCAGGCGATCCCTGTGCCTGGCGCCATGCTGTCGAATGTGTCTATCCACTCGGAGTGCCTGACTAGGGCGGGGTCTACACCCTGCCAAGCAAGTGGATGAAAACAGAAACCCCCCTGACTCTTTGGACCGTGCATACGTCCACATGCGGGGCAGCTCCTTCACCCACACGCAGTCCTGCTTTGGTCTCTTTCAAATACAGATGAAGGGTCTCCAGGGTCTGAGCCCAGGACAGGCGCTCCCCTGACCCCTGTGGTGCCACATGGGGGGACGGGGTGGGGAAGGGGGGCTGAGTCGACAGAAAGAGCCCGGCAGACAGCCCCCACCCCTTCCCTGGTGCCGCCCAGCACCCGCCTGGCCTTCCCAGAGGCCTCCAGGTGCAGAGCCGGTCTCCAGGCCCCTGAGAAGGAGCTGATAGTAAATGTTTTAGGCTTTGTGGCCACCTGGTCCCTGTGGAAGCCGCTCAACTCTGTTGTGGCGTGAAAGCAGCTTGGGCCGTGCTCCAATAAAACTTTATTTAGAAACAGTCTGGGGGCCAGATTGGGCCAGAGTTTGCGGACTTCTGGTTTAAACCAAAGAACAGAGTAGCCCCCGTCTTGTCACATCAGTCACCCCCAAATTCATGTGGAACCTGGATGTCGCTGGGCCCCTCCCCACACCTCCGCCCCGGGCTCTGCCTGCCAGCACGAGCGCGTTCACTGTGTCTGGTTCACTTCTCCAGAACAGGAGGAGGACGTGGCAGAAGAGGCTGGAGGCGGGACGGACGCAGAGGAGACCAACACGGAAGGTGAGGCTCCGCCCGGGCCGAGGGTGCGCGGGGCTCTGTCCTGGAGCCCGGGGTGGTGAGAGCCCCAGAGCCACTCCTACAGCAGCAAGAAATCCGCCTGGACCGAGCTTTGCAGCCTGGGCGGCCACTCGCCCTGTCGGGGCTCAGCCCTCGGTCACCCTGTCAGTAAACGCTGGCCACGTGCCCCTCTGCTGCCCAGTGGTCTTGGGCCCAGGGCAGGTGCAGACAGACAGCTCCGGACCCCAGACCCCCACGGGGCACACTTGGCTGAGGACCTGTTGCGGGGAGGCTCTTGGCAGGGGTTCGAGCTCGGAACCAGGACCTTTACTGGTTTCTCATGTTCTCTTTAGAAGGCGGAGAAGACGAAGATAAAGAGGCTGAAGGTGAGGCCCGCTGGGCGCTGGGAGGAGGCGCTGGGGGGCCGGGGAGCCCCTCCAGCAGCTTGTGGGAGGCCCCAGGGGGGCGGGGGAGGGGCTGGGGAAGGCAGGACACGACTCGGTGACCATGCGTGTTTGGAGGTCGGGCTCCTCCTTGCAGAGAAGCTGCCCCGGTGGTGCCCAGGGGAGAGGGGCGATGTCCAAGGGCCCAGGCAGGGCAGGGCAGTGGTCACAGCCACGTCCACACACGAGGCGCCTGGAGCCCGGCTGAACCATTTGAGGGTGGGGAGTCTGGGAGAGGAGATCCCAGGCACGGATCACTGCTGCGGTCATTGTTGGCCGGCAGCCTTCCCCAGGGGCCCAGGGGGCCCCAGTCACGCCTCTGGAGGGGCGCAGCCAGTGGGTCTTAGGGTCGCACCCCATCAGCTTCCTGGTCCTGGGCCGCCAGGAGGTCTGGGGGCAACTGAGGAGGCAGAGGCTCGGGAGGGGACTCTGGGCCCAGGACCCCCAGGGACCGTGCCCTGGACCCCTCCTCACTGTGAGGCCAGCACTGCTGAACGAGAGGACTGTGCGTGCGTGCGTCTCCCGAGGCTCCCCCGGGGAGCAGCCCCGAGAGGGAGTGTGGGGTTTGCAACCCTGCGGCTTAGTTCTTTGGGTGTTCCTGCAACCCGGGGCCGGGAGGGACTCACAGGTGGATGGGGAAACGGAGGCCCACAGGTGCCCGGCTCATCGGGGGCAGAGTGGGACCAGATCCAGGCTTCCTGACCCCGTGGCCGTGTGCTTCCCTTCTCTCCAGATGGCCCAGTGGAGGAGTCCAAGCCCAAGCCCAGGTGAGTGGTGAGGCCCTGGGAGCAGAGGGCCCATGAGGGAGGACAACTGGGACAGGACCGCAGTGCACGGTGGCACAGCGGGCATAGACCACCACGTATGGTTTTGCAGGTTGTGCAATGCACAAGGCTCTCTGCCGTCTGCTGCCAGCGTGTGTGGGGTCGGGGCGGGGGATGGGGGCTGAAATCCACCCACACTCCACCACCAGTTCCGGGCCCTGCCCCCGTCAGCACTGTGTCCATCTAGAGGAAAATGATGAACTCGCTGGGCCCTGGGTGGGCACCTCGTCCGACCCTGCAGGAGGGCTAGGACTCCATCCCCAGTGGCTGAGGTGGGGCCGGGGGGAAAGAGGGAGGAAAATTCGGGGAAGCCAAGCGGTGAGTGTGTGTCAGCCTCGGCGTGTGGTTCAGAGCGTCACCAAGGGCCACAAAGGGCAACTTGTGGCCGCACACGTGACACTGCCTGGGAGCTCTGGGTGCTGGGTGGGATGGGGGTTTCGGGAACGCCAAGGCCGCCAGCTGACGGGTGCCTCAGCACACGCAGGCGTCTCCCTGCGGTGCCTTTCGGCTCGAGTGGATGGTCTGAAACCAGCCCGGCCTGAAAGTCCAGCCCCTTCCCCTTTCCCCCGCTGCTGTGAGCGCTGCAGTGTCTCGGTTCAGCCCCACACAGATGAGGCAGACGGGAAACCAAGGCCCAGCGCCCGGGGCCTGAGTCCCACGCCAGTGTGGGAGGGGGGTGGGGACCAGCGTGGCCTCCTGGGCTCCTGGGGAGGTCCCGTGGGTCAGCCAAGCTGTCACCTATGCAGCCTCTCTACTTGCTGGCTGGTGGTTTCGAGCCAGGCTCTATGTCTCAGAGTCTCGGCTTCCTTGAGTGAGATGAGTGGTTCCTACCCTGTGGGTAAACGCGAGGGCACGTGCAGGCGCCGTGGGACCCTGGTGCTGAGCGGCCTGGGGGCTCCTGTGCGCACGCCGGCCATGCCGGTGTCACCGTGCTGGTGGCTGCGCAGCGGCGGCCGCGTTTCTGGGAGGAGAGGGCCTTGCCCGCCCCAAAGCACCGCAGCCCCTTGGTCTAGGGAGGGCTTGGTGCTCACGCCTCCTTCTGCCCACCAGGCCGTTCATGCCCAACCTGGTGCCGCCCAAGATCCCCGACGGGGAGAGAGTGGACTTTGACGTGAGTGGGGGCTTGGGGAGGGCAGGCCCCCTGGAAGAGAGCTCAGGACCTCCTGGCGGGGGGGAGGTCACGGGCGGGGGGCACACAGTGCCCGACGGTGTCCTGGGTCCGGCCGCAGCTGCTCTCCTGGACCCAGGCCCCTCCCCCCGGCATGGGGGCGGTGGGCAGCCTCTGAGCCCCGCCCCCCGCAGGACATCCACCGGAAGCGCATGGAGAAGGACCTGACCGAGCTGCAGACGCTGATTGAGGCGCATTTCGAGAACCGCAAGAAAGAGGAACAGGAGCTGGTCTCCCTCAAAGACAGGATCGTGGGTGTCGGGCGCCTCCCGGGGCCGTGGGGGTGGGGGGTCCAGCAAGAGCCCCTGGGGACCCAGCGCCCTCCCCCCGAGGGCTGGAGCGAGTCATCATCTCTGCCCCCCACCTCGCTCCCCC